GTTTCTAATATTTCTTCTGTAGTTATAGGAGAGTCTAACTTGTGTTTTTGTTCTGTACTGATCTTAGGGAGATTCAGGTTGCTAATAAAACTATCAATTTCCATATCTGTGGCAGCACATTCTGATGTATACAGAGTAATATAGTAATTTTTAAATACATTATTAATATCATGAGCTTTATTTACCAGCGTACCTTCAACATCCCTTATAGCTATTAGTGACTTTGATTCTTTTTGTTGAATATATCTGGCCAGTAGTTTGCCTGCTTTGTCACCTGATTCAAAAATTCTTTGTTTAGATTTGAAAAGAAAATATTCAGTTTTCTTTGATAGTATAATATTATATTCATATTTTAACTGAGTCAATTCATTCAATGTTTTGTTAGAAATATTTCTTTTCAGGTTTTTTTCCGCATTATATATTCTCTTCTCTAGTTCTTGTAATTTAGCGAGGTTTGTTTTCTTTTTGTATGAGGCGTGTTGGATTATAATGCCTCGTAAGAAGGCTTTCATGGCTTCCCAAGCCACCATAGCCGAGGGTGCTGTGGATACATTAGTTTCTAAATAAAACTTAATGTGTGTTCTGAGTTCCTCTTTAAAAATTAAGTCTTTAAGTAAAGATGAATTTAATCGCCAGTTACTGGTTCGTATTATTTTGTGATATGGCATCAATGAGAGTCTTACCAAAGCGTGGTCTGTAATTACAATACCATCTATACAGGAGTCCATAGTTGAGCTTACTAACTGTGTAGAAACAAGAAAAAAGTCGATTCTGGAAAATACCTGGTGGGCTCCTGAATAGAAAGTATAATCTCTTTCATTGGGATATCTAAGCCGCCACACGTCTACAAGAGCAAGAGAAGAGCAAATTCTTTTAATTATTAGAGAGGAGTCTGTCACTCTGCTTCGGGTTGGGCGTGTGCAATCCAGAATCTCATCAAGAACAGTATTAAAGTCTCCACCAAGAATTATAGGGAATCGTCCCAGATGCTGTATCTTATTTTCTAGATCTGCAAAAAAATTTGGATTGTCACCATTTGGTGCATAGACACTGCCCAAGATAAGAGTCTGTCCACATATTTCTGCTAGTATTAATATTATTCTGCCATCATCATCCTTGATTTCTTGTTTAACTTTAAACTGTGTGCGTTTATTTACAAGTATTGCAACCCCTCGACTTTTAGTTGAACCTGCACTGAAAAAAACATGTCCAACCCAGTCTCTCCGTAATTTTAAAGATTCTAGCGAAGACATATGCGTTTCTTGCAAGAACACTACATCTTGCTTTTTATTTTTAAGATGACGCAGAATCTTTTCTCTTTTGCTAGGTTTGCCCATCCCATTCACATTCCAGGTGGAGTACTGTAATGTTGTTCCTTTAGAACTCATTTACCTATTGTTTTGAAAAGTAGATATTTGAACACCATTTTCTATATTGTGTAACACCGACTGCCTCCCAACAGCAAAACAAAAACCAAGACAAACCAAAAAAAAAAAATAAAAAATAAAAAAAATAAATTGATAATAATAATAATACTGCAATTGCAGCTAATCTTGTTACATGTCTGTTTAGAGAACAATTATTAAGCTGCAGACAAAAAAAAAAAAGACTATTTATGTCCATGACTTACAAGGCAATTAGTGCCCAAAACAAAAAGAGTCCCTGCCAGGGTATGACAATTATTCGCTCATTATATTTGTGAAAACCATATCTTTTATACTTTATTGGATAAAAAAAAAAAATAAAATAATAATAATATAAGGAAGCGTTTAGTAAGTACAGGGGCTTATCTTAATGTCTCTGGAAAGAAGCCTTTATCAAATACACCTGCCAATAGCCCCCGTGTGTCAAAGTCATTTACCTTGTAGATCCTTAATGTAGTCCATAGCTTGTTTGGCATCCTCGAAAATCTGCGGGTTGTTCCCGGGTGCGAAAATTTTCAGTCGGGCTGGATAGAGCATGCCAAATTTAATATTACGCTCATGTAATGCCCTTTTACAGTCAGTGAATGCTTCTCTCAGTTTCAGAGTTTCTTTGGAAAAATCCGGGAAGATCATCACTTGTTTTTCATTCCACATTATTCGCCTCTTACTCCTCGCAGCTTCCATAATAAGCTGTCGGTCTTTGAAGCGTAGAAAGCGAGCTATGATCGCCCGGTTAGCATCACCTGAGATCCGCGAACCAACCCTGTGAGCTCGGTCCATCTCAAATCCACCTGGTGGCGGGTCGACGTCCAGAGAACTACAGATGAAGTTGTTTAAAAAAGCTCCAATGTCTCGCTTTTCCGAGCCTTCTGGTATCCCCACAAAACGCAGATTGTTTCGTCTTGACCTGTCCTCAAGGCTAGCCACTCTATTTATTAGTGTCTGTATCTCAGTTTTAGTAGCGGCTGGGCTAGCTTTCATGATAGCTTGCTCATCTTCAAGCTTACTCACGCGCTCTTCCACTGTGGTCATTCGTGAGACGAGAGTTGAAAGTTTTTCGTCCATAGAATTCACTGAGCGGCGGATTTCCTTCAGATCCGCAGTTTCCTTTAATATCTTAGCGAGCATATCATGGATATGTGCCATATTTTCCCCGGCTGATTTAGCGATGCCGGTAGGATTGCTAGCTTCCCCGCTAGCTATGCTAACTTGTAATTGACTTTGCATCGCGGATCTGAGCTTTCTCGATTCCTTCGTGTTCACAGTAGACTTAGTGTCCAAAGGCATGATTTACGACACGAGGCATAATCTATTTCCAGTCTTTCTGAGCAATATGGAGGATAATCAGCAAATTTTACCCTCTAGCAATGGGACCACAAGTTTTCAGGCGTCCATCTCTTGCCAGGTCACATGACAGCCTTCCTTTTACATTCCAAAACTGAAATTTCATCAAAATCGGTCCATAACTTTTTGAGTTATGTTGCTAACAGACAAACAAACAAACAAACAAACAAACAGACAAACACCGGCAAAAACATAACCTCCTTGGGGGAGGTAATTATGCAGTTTATGCAAATCACTAAAGTTAATCTACAGACCGAAGGGGTTTAGGCTGAAGTTTAACGCTTGTTTTGTCAAATCCTTTTTAACATAAAGAACAGGAGACCAGACGGCAGAACTATTTACAGAAAACAACACAAAGCTCGTCTATTATGAGCGCAGGAAAGAGTACGTACGTAAATAATTTGGTATACACATATAGACAATATATTAATGAATTATTTATTAATCATTGCATTTACCCAAAGCGCTTTACAGTTCATTATTCATTCACTCAACACTTGGTGGTGGTAAACTCCTGGGGCAGACTGATGGAAGCAAGTCTGCCAGAAAATACTGCATTTACTACAGGAGAATATACAATCACTCAAGCTCCATCCACCTGTACAGTCAGTCTATACATGTATCCTTATTTACACTGAAATATAGATTTAAAATGAAAAGAAATGAAGAGAAACATGTCCACAAACTCCAGTTCACAGTTTCAGTTCAATTGTTCAACTTCATAGAACAAAGTACAGAGCAGTGGAAGTGCACTGGTGTAGGGGGAAATCGGACGCTGCACGAATCCTTAATTTATAAGCATGTTTGAGAGACCATAACTTCATCAAAAATAGAGCTAGGAAGCTGAAAAAATGTGTATTATCGTAGATTACTGGTCACAGATTCTGAATCTTTTGTCAAATATTGTGTATCTTTATTAAGGGGGGCGCTGTGGGCCCCCAAAATCTCACATTTGGTTGCTGCTCAATTTATTTATTTATTTTCTTCAATTTTTGAGGTCCAAAATCTATTTACTCCAAACAAATATTTACAAACTAACTGAAAATTTGAGAGAATGACCATTTCTGACCACAATCTCACACTTTTCTGAGTTTTCATGTGGACGGTGTAGAGTCCCAAATATGGTCACAGACCAAATCTGATCTTTTTGGCCTCTTCTTTTGAGCCTCGGTTCCCCATGTGGCACAGTTAGATGTTGATCAAATTTTTACCAAAGAAACTTTGGCATATTCTGATTAGTTTAAAGTAATAAAAACATCTACTATTAACTTCCTTCATTTCAAACTGAATTTTTGAAAATGAGCTCTCATGGGTCATTTTTGGTGGAGCTTAGGTACATTTCCACCTTCTAGAAAGGTTCAAATACCTTTAATAGACTTAAACATTATTTGCTTGTTATAAGGGAAGACAATTACAAAAAAATGTAATTTAAACACAATGTTTTAACATTAACTTGTATGCATTTCATAGAATTTAGTCATGGTTTCTTTTTGCTCCTGAAACTTGGCATCTTTTATCCTGAACAAGTGCATCAATATCAAGCACCATGTCCTGATCTTCAGAATGTCATTCAAGTGCTTGTGTGTTGTGTGTTGTGTGTTGTGTGTTGTGTTTTAGCTTTGACGCAGCTTTGTTTTATTCATGTTCATTACTGAGAAAACCTGCTCACAAAGGTAGTAACTGTAAATCTATTATTTCTAGTTGCATGTCTGCGGCACATCAGAGGTTTTGACTGTGAATGGTGTACGAAAAATTGCAAATTCTGTCTTCAGGTTTTGAAATATAATTAAAATATTTTAATAGAAAATCAGCCGAGGGTCAGATTAAAGGTCTTGGAGGGCCGGATCCGTATGTTTAACACACCCTTGTACTAGACGGTCTGAAGGCAAGAACCCCGGAAGTTGTAGACGGCGCACCGGCCAATCAGCTGTGAGCTGTGAAGTCATGACGTCAAACTCGTGGCGTCTGTCTGTGCATTGTTGTTTAAGCTGCAGGGTGCAAAGTGTGAGAAAAAAATAGCGGCTTATAGTCCAGAAATTATGGTAATTTATAAACTACAAACACCATGATAAAAACTTGATTCAATATCTGAATGGTTGATAATGCACAGTCCTGTTCATTATATTAACTGCCCTCCCCCATTACTTTGTTTGTTTTTACTTTTCTTTCATTTGTTGTTTTACTGAAAATTATGGAAATAAATGTCTAAAAATAAAAGATTAGACAAAGAAATAAATGACAACAGCTTTATTTTGTGAATTTATAGAAAATTGTGCCACTGTTAAATGTAACTACTGATTTATGGTGCGTTTGTTTATCCGTCCGACTCAGAAATCCGAGGATGTTGCTTTGGGACACGTCCTTTTCCTCAGACAGAGAAACTGGGAAGAACTCAGAGCCAGGATTCCCAGACAGAATCCACGACGACGTGTTTAGTATGAACTGTTTTCATTGTGTTTGGAGGTTTGGTGGTTTAAATGACAATTTAAAGGTTTGAATGTTCGGCGCGTGTTTGTTTGTATTTGATTTGGTTTTATTTAACTTTTTATGGACTCTGCACGACCAGAGATGTAAGAACTGAATTTTGTTTATACTGAATTGTTCTGTTATACTGAACTATTCTGTTTATACTGAATTATTCTGTTTATACTAAATTATTCTGTTTATATTAAATTATTCTGTTTATACTGAATTCTTCTTCAGTTGTGTATTTGAAGTACAGATTTATTTTGGGGCCTGATACTCGGCCGATCCTAAAGCAACAAAAGCTTTCTGGTTTGGCGTCCACGAAAACATAATAAATATAATAAACCAGTTGAAGCGCAGACATGACGTCGTTTCCGAGATCCGAGTTGGAGATGGATGGATAAAAGAACGCACCTTTACTTTTCTGATATTTCATTGCAAAGTTCAGTGGAATTAAAAGGAAAAACTTCTCCTGCCCCCATCAACTCCAGAAAAGCAAACAGCTCGTCTTTCAAAGGTCTGGAGGGTGTTTAGGCGCAGGACACGACGCAGAGTTTGTGCGGCGTAGGGTTCAGCGCGAGGCCGACCCGAGCTCTCAGGTCCAGGTCCTCCTCGCGAACACCAGGGGGCGCAGTGAAGCGGAAACTCTGCATCAACGTCACAAAGAAAATGAACAACTCCATCCGAGCCAAAGACTCTCCCAGACAAATCCTACGACCTGAAAGAAAGAAAGAGGAGAGAGGGATGAGAGGAGAGAGGGATGAGAGGAGAGAGGAGAGAGGGGGACTCTTCAAGACTTGTTCTTTCTTCAGTTTTGTGTGTAAACAAAATCATTTATTAAAACTCAATGTTTTTATTAGTTAATGTGATTTTTGTGTGTTTGCAAAGAAAAGAAACTTAGAACTCATCAACACTTCTGAGGCTACACTTTGCCCCCCTCCCCGTCCCGAATTTCAGTCAATCTCATCTGGTCACCCTCAGCGAATGTCTTATCCAGTTTTACTCTAGACCAGGGGTGTCAAACTCATTTTGGTCCGGGGGCTGTATCCAACCTACTTTGATCCAAAGTGTCCGGATCAGAAAACGCATGTCATATAAACCCAAAAATAACAATAAGTTAAAATATTTTGTGCAGAGAAACACAAATCTATTACAGAAATCTTTTTTTTAAATGATGAACTCTTTCTTTTACAAAATATTATAATATTATGAACAACCTGAAATTTTTCAATTTACACAAAATGTTTTAACATTAACTTGCATTTGCATTATATGCATTTCATAAAATTTAGTCATGTTTTCTTTTTGCTCCTGAAACTTGGCATCTTTTTCCTGAACAAGTGCATCAATATCAGGCACCACGTCCTGATCTTCAGAATGTCATTCAGGTGCTTGTGTGTTGTGTGTTGTGTGTTGTGTTTTAGCTTTGACGCAGTTTTGTTTTATTCATGCTCATTACTGAGAAAACCTGCTCACAAAGGTAGTAACTGTAAATCTATTATTTCCAGTTGCATGTCTGTGAGCACATCAGAGGTTTTGACGGTGAATGGTGTACGAAAAATTGCAAATTCTGTATTCAGGTTTTAAAATAGAATTAAAATATTTCAGTAGAAAATCAGCCGAGGGCCAGATTAAAAGTCTTGAAGAAATTTTAGAAGCAGTACGTGTATGTGTGAGTACATTTTACCCATTTAAATGCACTTTACTTGAGTAGAAATGTGCTGTACTCTGAGTTGTACCTGCAGAGAAGGGCATGAAGGCGTCTCTCTTCCTGAACGTTCCGTCTTTGTGGAGGAAGTGAGCCGGATAGAAACTGTGAGGCTTTTCCCATTCGCTCTCGTCAAAGTGCACAGAGGTGAGGAGCAGCCACACCTGAGTGCCCTGAAAACAACACAGCACATTAACAAAGAGTGTCAAAAAAGTTTTACCTGCTCTGAAAACTCAAGAAAAAATGGTTATTGGAGGAGAGGAGAGGAGAGATGAGAGGAAACGAGAGGAAATGAGAGGAGAGGAGAGAGAGGAGAAGAGAGGAGAGGAGTGAAAAAAAAATTAAGACGGTCTGAAAACTCAAGAAAAAACGCAAAAGTGATTTAAACGGCACATTTTCAGAAATCTGTGATCAGTCCGGGTGGTGGTTCTCCAGTTACTCGTCTCCATGGAGATGTTATTGCTTTACCTCCAATATTCCAAAGTATGGCGTTAAACCTTTCAGTCTCCATAGAAACAAGCAGGAGACGCCACCTGAAGTGTGTGGAATTGGATTGTGTGTGTTTGTACTTAAAGCAACAAGGGCGTCTGGATATACAGAAGTTTTCACGCCACACATTTTCATCAGCGACTCCTTCCACGAAGTCGTGTCTGTTCCGCCTCACCTTTTTGATGAAGTGTCCCTGGAAGGTGATGTCTCGGCTGGTTTTGTGGGGCAGGGACACTGGAGCGATGTTCCCGAACCTCTGCGTCTCGTGGATCACGGCGTCTGTGAAGGGCAGGTCTCTTCTGTCCTCCGTCTGGACCTGGCGACTTCCGATCACCCTGAAGATCTCCTCACGAACCTGGTCTGAGAGACGGAGAGAAACGGGACTGAACCAGGACTGAAGCAGGACTGGACCAGAACTGAAGCAGGACTGAACCGGGACTAAAGCAGGACTGAACCAGGACTAAAGCAGGACTGAACCAGGACTAAAGCAGGACTGAACCAGAACTGAAGCAGGACTGAACCGGGACTAAAGCAGGACTGAACCGGGACTAAAGCAGGACTGAACCGGGACTAAAGCAGGACTGAACCGGGACTAAAGCAGGACTGAACCAGGACTAAAGCAGGACTGAACCAGAACTGAACCAGAACCAGAACCATTGTGTGGACGAAAGGCATCATGGTATTCTACAATTTCATGACCATTTTCTCCATTTCGAGGCACGAAAGGCATTTTGTTCACGGAATAAGTCCAGTGACACTTGGCGCCTCATGCAGAAGTGTTTTGTCTTGTTTCAGTGACACATGCGGCGATGCCACCCTGGTGGCTGTTGACAGATTGAATGTTTTTCCGCTAAATATTAAGGTCTCTTTACGGTGTGTTTAGCTGGGTTTTCGCCTGGTATATTAACTTTTTTCCAAATTCTGCAGGAAGAAGGACAAATAACGTCTTTCCCCTTGATAAAATTCACCAACATTCTCTTTGTTCCGACTTTAAATCCTCGATCTCGGGAATCGTTGACAACACAGAATGTCTGTCTCTTCGCTGATTGGCTGGTGTCCGAACTCGCACTTCCGGGGTTTTTGTGAACCGTCTAGTGTATTCTGATTCCTGACCTAGTCACTGGAGAAAAATTTAATTGAGTGGAAACACTAGGTGGCGCCAGACTGGCTAAATGAAAACGATACCGTTGCTACTTTCTGATACCGCGGGATACCGTAATACCGTATTATCGCCCAAACCTAGGATGGAATATTTTTAAAAAGCTCACTAAGAAATTAGGTCATATGTCCAAAATTCCAGACTGTCCCTTTAAAGGACCCTGAAACACAACACAACAACAAACACACCCAATAGACAAAAAAAACAAAAAAGTGCTCAGTCGTAACAATCTTCTAGAACAGATCTTAAAACCACTTACCATCCACCCGCCCGCCGGCGGGCGATTTTCCCCCCAAAAAAATTTCACTCTGTATTATTCATTATTGTTTTCACTACTGGCATGCCATACATCGTTTTAAAGCTTAATTTCTCAATAAAACAACCATATCATTCATTTTATGCCATACAACGAGCCCAAAACGCGATAACTTAAACATTCACATCATAATCAAAGAATAAAATACGCGTTTCTTGCCTTTGATCCGGTTCTGTCGGTCCAAAACGCGTTCAATCCATGAAAAGTTGTACTCAATAAGTCCGTAATAATCCACAGAAAAAGAATATCAAGTTGTTTTTCCATAAAATAATTCCATGTGGGGAAATAATCCATAAAACCCTCGTCCGTATGAATCGATGGATACAATGATATGAAAAAAAGTTTCTCTTCTCTCCCTTCTTCCACTGCGTTTCTAGCAGGTTTGCTAGCACTGTTGGGTACGCTTGTTTTCCTCACACTCTTAGCTTCAAAATGAGACCCTCCCCGCTGTTGTCGGTGGCGGGGTTTAGGTGGGACAAGCCGCTGAAGAAGCTAACGCACTCACGTACTTCCTGGCTTTACGCACGCGTCATCAGTTTGTTTACGGGAAATCTCTTCAGTCATTGGATCTTCCAGAAAGTGATTGACATATTGTTTTAGCCTATCACCAGAGCTTTCAAACGGTGGGTGGGACATTCAGATTGTATTGGAAACGGACCCTGTGTTTATAAGCCTAAGGAGAGAGGGAGACAGGCATATAGAAGGCAGATCTTCCACTTGGAGGACAATTTTGGCTACTTTTAGTTTTTTTTTCTTGAGAAAAATGCCTAAAGCTCAGAAGAATTAGTATTATAATAATAACAATTATTATTATTATTATTATTATATTATTATTATTATTAGTTTGGCACAAATTTGGCAATCTTGTGCCGAATTGTCATTTTGTTTACACAAAGGCTCACAGCATCAAAACCCTTTGTCCTAGAGATCTGAAATTCTACACAGTTGTTGCCAACAACTTGAACAATGAGTGTAGTGAGTCACAAATGCCTAGCATGAAGTATGCCCAACCTAAGGCCTTTATTTTTTTCAATTTTTTTTTCGAAGCAAAAAAATACAAATTTTTTTCAATTTTAATTGACTGTACTGTAGGTTAGGCAGCACTCACAGTCTTCATGTACATATCATGTGGGTCTAAGGTTTTCTTTTAATAAGCTATGGCATTTGGGTATGTAGTGCTATTGTGCACACACCAAAATGAGGTGGGTGGTAACAGGTTCTTCAAACTCTTCTGACTCTGCTCTTCTTACCCTGGACGTGTGGGAACTTGGCCATGAGCAGAAAGGCCCATCTCAGAGTCGCAGCCGTGCTCTCGGTTCCTGCTGCAAACATCTGCAGAACCGTCTGGACCAGGTTCTCCTCATGGTACGGAGAGTTAGGAATGGCGCTCTCCTGCCGATCAAACACAACAGATGCTTTAAAGGGGCACTGTGTAATTTTTCTGGTACAGGGCCCGAAAGTGTTCGAAAATATGAAATATGAAATATGAAACTTTGCAGTCTCCATAGAAACAAGCAGGACTAAAGTAGGACTGAACCAGGACTAAAGCAGGACTGAACCAGGACTAAACCAGGTCTGAACTGGGACTGAACCAGGACTAAACCAGTAACTGTATACTGTAAATGTTCCAGAACACATGTATTATGAAGCAAAATAATAAACAAAAAACAGTATGGAAATCAGTAATATGTACATTTATTTTTTTAAAAAAAAAAAAGAGAGAGAGAGAACCAGCTCCTCCTCATCCGTCTGAAGTGGCATGTGCAATATTTTATTGTTTGACCATTTGGGACAACGGATAGAAATGAGCCTTTGGCAATAATCTGGTGAGGTTTATTTGGTCTTCTGATAATTTGTTATTACGATCTTTTTTCAGACCAAGAGTTAGTTTTGCCAAAACAGAATGTCTGTCTTCGTCTACATCCATCTCAACGCTTTTTTACTGTTGTGCTGTTCCACAAAAGAGACTCAGACAGACGCCACGAGTTTGACGTCATGACTTCACAGCTCACAGCTGACTGGCTGGTGCGCAGTCTACAACTTCTGGGTTTTTTGAAAACCGTCTAGTGTATTTTGATTCCTGACCTAATCGCTGGAGAGAAATGAAATTGAGCGGAGGCACTAGGTGGCGCCAGCCTGGATAATGGAAATGACCTACCTCTTCCCAAGTTCATAAATGAGTGAATAATGTTGATTCTACAGTGGGACATTATTCGATGGATTAATTGTTCTGTCTTTAGTCGGAGCATATTTGAGCAGAGTACAACTGTCCAAATAAACTACCTACGCAGATTCATAGAAATGAGTTTAAATTTGACATAACTAAGGTATAAAGTTTGATCACCGTGTGCAAACAGCATCAAACCCATGTCTTTAATCCAAATAAATATGTTGTAAAACTGGGGAGGTCAGGGTTTAGCTTTATTGGATCTATACAACTGTAAACAGAAAACTGTAAAGTAGCTTATTTCAATGGGGCAATGTTAAACGTCACTGTTGATTTAGGCTGCAGGAGCTCATTTCAACAGAACGACACTAAACTGTAACTCTGTGATCCCCAAGAGCCGCTCTGTCAGATGAACAAATGCGCACAGAAAACACATGTCCGACTGATCCGTTTTAGTGCATTTTGCTGAGATTAAAATTAAAAACATTAACGGTGTTGGGGACTGACCTTTTCCTGAGTCAGCATGAAGGCGTCCACTAAGCCTCTGCACATCTGTGGGTTCAGAGTCTCTCTCAGTTTCTGAAAAAACCTTCGATTCTGTTCTTCAGCTTTCTTCTTGTTTTTTATAACTTCATTCCTGTTCGGCACCAGGCGCCCGAGCCACGGGAACAGGTTATAGATCTGCACAAAACACATTTAGTCAATCTAAAGGGCTCCAACCTTTTTCCTCCAGTCAGCTACTTTTACAAAACCAAAATGCCAAAAGCGATACTCATTTTAGTGGTCTTAAGAAATTGATATAAGAAAGAGGGTAAGACTTAGATGGAGACAGTTAAATGTAAAAACAAATATAAAACATAAACCATTATCTATTTATTAGTGCACAGAGTTAAGCACCAGAGATAATAGTCATGGAATTAATACATTTAGAGTTATTCAGCATAATACGTATAATTCAGAGCCAGACTCTATATTATAATACGATTTTTTGCGGGACAAAATAGCGAAATAGGATCATGTGTCGCAGGTTAATACAAACATTTTAAGACCAAAATGCCAAGGCTCACAGCAGTGACAACAGAGGAAGGAGCCACAGTATTCCAAAGAAAGTCAAAGTCTAAGTTCAGACTGCAGGGCTTAATGCTCAATTTGTATTTTTTTGTGAAATCTGTTTTTTTGTTGTTTTTTTTGTGAGGTTGTTCACGTTTCCAGTTCAGTGTGACTTGTTTGTGATCTCCAGTGTGAACTTTAAACGCCCCAAAAGCATCCCGCATGTGCATCGGAGAACACGACGACGTCACACACAGCGAGCCTGCTCAGAGTTTACGGAAGTCGCTT